AGGGCCATTATTCTTTCCATCCACATAAAGACAGGCTTTCTCTAACCATTGTCCCGTTTTCTCCCCGTACCTCTGAATTCTAACCCTAGGCAAACGCACAGATGTCCATATATCTTCTGCAAAAAATAACCCCAAAGTCCTAATTACCATTGAGCTCCAAGTTCTACTTTCTCATATGCCCATTAAACCGTCCATCTACACACCAAAGCCATTGCACCCTTCCTTGTCTCATCTGTCTTTCTTTTCCTTCTCCTCTCCCACAATCCTAGTTTAGATCTTCAGTCCTTCTTATTTGACTAATGGTTCCCCCAAAGCTAGTTGTCAGACCTCAAAACTATTATAAAAATCCAGTGGCGCAGACCTCATCTGAGATCTATGGCCTACGTATATGTGTTTTTATAACAAGTTCCCAGGTGAATTCAATGAATAGCTGCAGATATGGAAGCCAGAAATCTCAGCTGTCTCAATGGTTGTATTAGTCTCCCAGATTTTGATCTTTTTTCTTTTGACTCCTTGATATACATTCTACAGCCCATCCTCTAAAACGCCTTCCTCTCATCTCTATTTGTCCAAAACATGTGCATTCTTGAAGGCCCAGCTCAGGTGACTTCCTCTCCAAATATATCTGTCCTCGATAACCTCATTTAGAAGGAACTTGTCTCTATACGGGACAAGAATAGAAGAATAGAAAAATACCTGCAGATTTAATTCACAGCACAGAGAGCTGCCTTGCTTTTACCTGTGTTTTTATTCCTACACACATCCCATTCAGTCTTTTGCAAGGTGTGCACGTGCAAGAACACACAAGTGCAAGAATGTATGTGCACGCACACACACTTAAGTCAATAAACATTTACCAAGTGCCTAATATGTATCAAGACTCTATGTAATGAGTCAAAATCACTTGTGCCACTCGAATATACTACAGATTAATTACAGATGATTTGGGCATGATGGTTTCTGACATTATTGCTCAACTCTGAGTATGCATATTTGAGAGCTGTAACTACATAGAAACATTTTTTTAGAGGGCTTCAAATTAAACCTGTCAATGTATTAGATGGGGGCTCTTTGGAAGTAAGAATAACTCCCTATCTTTATATTTCCTGAAAGTCTAGCATAGTGTCTTGTGGATAATACATTCTCATCTAGTTATTGAATGAATAGATGAATGAACGAACAAATGAACAGTCCTTACCTGACTTTTCTACAGATGGGTGTGAATAGTGAGGAAAAGTTGATTCCAAAAGAAATAGCTTTTACTTTCTTTATTAAAAAAAGAAAGAATAAATCAGGGTATGTCTGCCTAACTTCCTTAATATCCACCAAAGCATTTATAAGAAACTCAGTCTTATACGGCATGATGTCACTACATGGTCCCAGGGAGAGTTTCAGACTCACTTCCACACTGAAGAAGGAAAGCTTATCTTTAAAATGCTGACCAAATTGTTGGTGTGTGCTGAGAATCAAAAGAAGTCCAGGCATCTTCTCTACCAAATGACCTTAGTAGTAATGTTAGTCCCTGAAGCAAATGTATTGGACCCCAACTTTTCCTGTCCCTTCCTTTTCTCTCTAAGATGGACAGACAGCTCCAGGGCAGAATACAGACAGCCCTCCTGAATCCTCCACTTTCTCTGAACTGTTGTTCCACATGTCTTCTCTGTCAAACAACTCACTAGTTACCAATCAGCCAGCAAAAACAGTTTGGGACTATGTGAGCATAGTGCCAAACAGAAAATATCTACTCCATGTCATGGCTAAATATCTAATTTTTAAATGCCATTTCCAAAAGTAATACACTGAATAATAAAGATGTTTTAAATCCATCATATCACTCAATCTGTCACATTCATTAAAATGGTGTCAATTAAGTAAGTATGGTATTTAAATAATGAGTTAATGTTTTATGTCCTAACCTCAATTATTTCTCTACTTAGGACTGGCAATGATGATGATAAAGATCTTCTGAAGTCAGAAATAAAATTGCAACAATGCACTACATACTTATATCAGGCTCTTTTAAGGAAGACTTTTTCTGAATTTACTGTGTGAGAAACTTCCCTCTGCTGGCTAACACCTGAGCCCTAATGTGGAGCTCTGATCCTGCCACACTAAGCCACAGAGAAAGGCGATCTGAGCCGGATTCCGAAAGAAATGTAGGGCTTCCCATTACAGAGCAAGGACATGTTTTCCCTAAATCTTACACAGAAGACCTTCTGTCAAGCAAGCAGTTTCTCTAGAAGAAAGCTAATCAATCCCTTGCTAAAACAGATGCTTACTGTATGATAACCATATGGGTACACACAGTACACTCTGCCTGAAGACAGAGTGATAAGATATCAAAAACTTTTAGCTATATCAGTTAATGTGCTACATAAAGAGAAAACTCTATGGTGTAAATCTTATTTTAATTTCCAAAGAGACTGACTTTTAACCAGTCTTGAATCACTGACTTCAAAAATCTCTGATCCTTGAAGTCAATTAGCTGGTAGCACCCTCTTAACTTCTCTTTATATAATGCTAATTTAAAAAAATCTTGTATGGACAAAATTTTAACAGTCTTACTAAATTTCCCCATAGTCTTGCATTGTTTTATGCACCTTTCCACCTTTACTAATACCTTCTTTATGCCTCCCTTTAGCCTCTGATTCATTGGAGCATCTTGGAAGATGATGTTTTCACCAAAATGGGTCAAGCCCTTTGTGGCTTCTGTAGTTCTAAAGAATCCTGCAGAATCTGATTGTGGTTGAATATGAAAGTCCTGAGGATTTTCTGTTGGGGATTAGGCCCAAGTGGTCCCTCATCACATATTCTTCTCCTAAAGTCACTCAGTAAAGGAAGCACTGACTACAAGCAGCCAGCACAAGTTGCCCAAAAACAAATTATTCTTGGCCAATCTAATTTCCTTATTTGAGCGTTCAACTAGGCAGTAGACAGGGAAAGGCTGAGTATATCAAATATCTGTATTTTATCAAAGTTTTCTGCCATCGAGTAACTAAATATTAACTATATGGAGGCCTAATGTTCAAACTGAGCAGAGAGGATTGCAGAAATCTGTCCCTTAGTCCCTGAATTCTAATCTGGAGTGCACGTACAGCTGAAAGCCTGAATGACCTCTAAATCCATCCCCTTTGTACCTTTGTTCTCCTGTTAAGTGCTTCCAAAGACGTTTCTCCATCCGTTGCATGCTACTTCTCTCCAAAGACAAATAGAAATCTCCCCTTCTGACTATTTTGGTAAGGATGTTGTGGGACACGTGTTATTATTGTAACAGGAGATTATACAGTATGTTATCACATTGAGAGATATTTTATCCTTGGAATCATTTTGAAAGTTTTCTTCCATCTGGGACAGGTTCGAGACAGGCTACAGTCTATGCCTTGGTGTCAGGTGAAGTTCATGAGGTCAACACACTTTCCTAGATTTCTGCAGGCCAGTTCAGCTTCTAGTTTAGTTCTGTCATTGAGAACCCTAAGGAGTCACAACTAATCATGAGAAGAGTCCTAGTGCAAAGTGCCTTGTGAGCCATCCACATGCATGAGAATAATAAGTGTGGGCTGAATGTTTGCCACTTAGATAGATTCAGTTCTGGCTGCTATCTGAAAGTTAATGAATGTGTAAAGGTTGGGCATCCCAGAAAGTGGTCTCTAGAGCCACACACTACGATTTGTCCTTGGCCTTGTCATGTTCAACATTTTTACATAATTATTTGGATGAAGATATAGGCATGCTTCCCAAATTTGAAAATGACACCAATATGTTCTATGACAGGATCTAAAAAGATCTCTTCCCATTGGGAAAATGGCTAAATCAAAATATGAAGAAAACGTAACAGTAATAATAATAATAATGATATCTAAAACTCACATATACCTATTATATGACAAACTCCTTTCCAAGTGCTTTACAGAGCATTACTTTGTCTAATCCTCACAATAACCTTTTGGGGTAGGTCATGTATCACTTATTGTTAGAGATAATGTAGGATACAGGTATAGATTGTGGAAATTTGAATCAACTTGCCTAGGTTAAAACCTAGCACTATTGTTGTGTTCTATGTGAACTTGAGAAAATTACTTAGGCTCTCTGTGCACCTCAGTGTCCTCATCTGTAAAAATCAGCAAAGTAGTTCATTTATCAAATACGAGGGATATAACCCCAAATATTACTTAGTCCCTACTCACAAGGAACACATCATTGCCTGAGGAAGAGAGACACGTGCTCATCTAAACAAAAACCGTTCTTCGTCAAGGACTATAAAGTGTTAATGCCTCATGTTTCACTCTTATTTAGCAAAAAAAGTAAGCTGTTGGTTTCAGATTAATATTCTTTATCATATTGAGAAAATATATTTCTATTCCCACTTTACTAAGCTTTAAAATAAGGAGTGTGTTTAAATTTCTCAAGTATCATTTAGGTATATATTGCAATGATTACTTTCCCTTCATTGATCTTTCTATATACTGAATTATTGTTACACATTTTCCTATACTAAAATGTCCTTGCATTTTTGACTCAATACTAATTAACCATAGCATAGTATCCTCTTAATATTGTGTTGCAAATAGTATATTAAAGAATTTTCTCATTTATGTTTATAAATAAAACTAGCCTTTCAAATGTTTTATTAATAAAATTGTTTTTTTAAATCCAAAACCTTTCTGTTTGTCCAAGATGATTCACTGAGCAAGGACTGTTTCTACCAAAACTGATCAAGAGAAAGAGAAAAACCCACAAATATAGATTGTAAATGAGAAGTGGGCTATAACAAGTAGAAATTGCAAAATAAATTATGACAATTTATGTTAAGAAATTTTTAAATTAAATCATATTAGTATAATGGAAAATTATCATATATTTCTACTCTCCACCCATTTTAAAAATTTATTCAACTACTCTTAAAACCAATAAAAGAGATTTTTGTTGTACTTTTTTTAGAGCACTATTTTAATCTTTTCTCTATAATAGGGTACATTGAGTATGCCAATTTGCAGACTAACCAGTTACAGGGATTATAAGAAATATTTGCTAATTTTGGCTTTTTAAAGAAAATTTCAGCACCCCCATAATATGCTGAAAAAAAAAAAAAAAAAAAAAACCAATAAAAGGGATTTTTGTTGTACTTTTTTTAGAGCACTATTTTAATCTTTTCTCTATAATAGGGTACATTGAGTATGCCAATTTTCAGACTAACCAGTTACAGGGATTATAAGAAATATTTGCTAATTTTGGCTTTTTAAAGAAAATTTCAGCATTAGTTTGAAATTTTGGAAAATGAATGACAGAATTTATGTGCACCTTTAGGTATATCCCAGTGTGTTAATTTGATTCCTAAGTTATCTTCTGAAAGATACCCCACTTTTCAAAGAGTCCAAATTCCACACAAATAGGCAAATTTATGACTATAGAGTTATATATAGTGTTAAGAATTACTAAGTTCTTTTTCCTAGTCTAATGTTTTATGAAGTGTTAAAGTTAATATAAATTGTTTTCAAAGATGTTTCTTCTACATAAAAAGCCATTCCAAGTGGAATTTTAAAAACTGAAATATAACATTCTTCTGCAATTTAACTTTCATATTTATTTTATTAAAGCAAAAACATAAATTTGTGTGGAACTTTCCTAAGTTCAAAACAAGGGCAGGATTTACTAAGCTATTCCTAATGTGTTCTCCTCCAGCAAACTCTGTGCTCAGTTTTTCTGAAAACTATCATTTTTTCAATGCCAATTTTCTTACATTTCTATGAAACCTGTACTTAGCAAGGGATTTACTCATTGACTTCTAGTTACCCAGTCTTGCCAGAACTTTCCTATGAAGAATTGAAAGTAGTCAGTGTTTGCGTGGGGTAGGAGTGGACTGCATCTCTCCCAAAGTGGTTCACTAAGTTAAAAAAAAAAAAATCACTTAAGAAGGGGAAAGAAATGAAGAGTGATGTTCTCTGAGAAGGAGTAATTGCTGCTGTCCCCAGGGTCCTAACAGCATAGGTCAGCTTTCTCTAGAAAGTTTTCAAAAGGGCTCATCAACTGTGAAGTCAGTAATAGAATTTAATGCTGCCAACTGCACCCTTGAAGCTAAGCAGCAATGACACACGCCATCATTGTATAGAAATGGTCAAATATATTAACTTAATGATAGACCAGTGGACCCCCTATGGAATGTGATTATATTGTGCCAGCTCTGGAATAAATGTTAGGTCTTATACAACTGTGTTATTATTACTTTTTTTCCCTCAAAGACCTTTTGAAGTGTTCAAAGCACAAGATGAGAAAAGACGTGTGCTGTCCCAAATCACAAAGGCGATTTGCTAAAATAAAACAGCTTTGTGCCTACAAAACTCTCTACTTTCTTTTTTTTTAGTTGAAAGCAGTGTCCACTGGTTTTGAAAGGCCTTATCAAAACAAAATACTCAAGTCTGAAGCACACCAACAGGCAGAAATGGGCGAGGTAATTCCAGTCTTACATGTTGGTTTCAAAAAAGCAAAAAAAGCCTACGGCTCAAGCCAATACTAGACTATCCATATTTTCATCTACAAAATTACCCAGCCCTGTACAGAAAACAGTGTACCTTCAGAAGAAAATGCTTATCATAATGCCTTAGGTGAAAAAAGAAAAATACAAAATTTTATACCTCTCTCCCAATAATTCCTATGGTGGCAAGAAACGTACAAAGGTAGACAAGGATTAAAAGGTACATAGACAAGATGATTTGTTACAATAGCAGTGCTGGGATGATTATTTCTTTTTTTTATTTTAAGTTTGATTACAGTATTTTATGATTTTTTTAAAAAAATTCAGAGTCAAAGCCAGAGGTCGCAAGTTGCCAGCCCTCATGATAAATTTAGCCCATAACTGTTTTTAATAAAAGTCATTAACATTTAAGATATTATCGCATAAATATTTGAATTTTTAGCTTCTCATGAAAAATTGAAAGATATGGAAAAATCGGGTCCATGTTCCCACATGAGCTCAAGCAGCTTGAGCTGTAAAGAGGTCATTTGGCCTTTAAGAATAGGGTGCTTGTTCACCAGCTGCCACACTCATTTATGTCACCTACCCGTGGGCACCTGCACATGGGGATCCTGGTGAGGACAACTGGATTAAGACAGTTACTGTGACTCCATCTACATTCATGAACCTACTTCTTTCTTCTTTTCACATCTTTACCTTTTTGATACCTCTTCACTGGTCAAATTAGAGGATGTCTTTCTCCACATTCAGAAGTTACATAATCTATTAGTCTACATAGCATAATAAAAATTTGGCAATTAACTCAATAAACAGAAGCAGCCAACCCTGATATTACTACTACTACTACTA